AACAAGGTTTGTTGGTACAAGCTCTAACCTACGAGTTTATGGTAGCACAGCCATCAGCCACACGAGTGGGGGCACCTATCAAGGGCGCACGGATAGTGACTGCCAAGGATGGAAGCCAAGACCTGACTGTCGATTTTACAAATTAGTACAATATTCAGAAGGAGCAATTGTTCCAGCCCCACTCCAGCATCCCGGATCGCAGGATCCACAATAGAAAATCAACAATTCATAAAGCTTCATTCACTCTCTCATACATACAGTACCTCGACATCGGCATTAGACAATTCTAAGAGCTGAGAGGGCTTGGTCAAAACCTCAATATGTATGACAGAAAATTCCATGACTAATTCTAATTTGTACTAATTAATAACAGGGCCGAGTTCTGTCGTGTTGCGCAAGCCGCTGCTCGATCCGCACCACTACTTCGAGGACCGACGTCGAGATGGCCACTCCCAGTTACATTGATCGCTAGCATGCGACAAATATCGACGACACCCATCTTCAGGTCCACAGATGCCAGTAACGGGTCTAGAGGTAGTGCTACTTCACCAAAATCATCACAACAACAACAACAACAACATAATTATTCTACTGCTTTCAACTGGGCGAATCCTGCCAAAGGCGCACGTCCACCTCCAGCCGACAACACCGAGATCAAGAAGCCGGATTTATCCGTATACGAAGACGATATATTCGGTCCGGATATCGACTTCGAGGCCGACGAACTCAACAAGAACAACAAAGCAATCGAGGAACGCCCACCACCTACACGACCGCCCATGCGCCTAGTCCCGCGAACCGGCCGCACCGTTCACGTTACCAAAAACGTCGACGTAGCACGGTCCTTCAAGCTTCTTGCTATACAGACCGCCCAGAACCGACTCCGACAGGATTTCCAATATCAGAGATTTCACGAGCGGCCAGGTCTAAAGCGGAAGAGACTGAAGAGTGAGCGCTGGCAGAAGAGGTTCAAGAGGGGGTTCAAGGCTTGCGTTAGCAAGGTGAAGGAATTGACCAAGCAGGGTTGGTGAGACTCGCATCTGCCGTGTACAATATCCAGGAGACCTGGACCAACTCATCCGGTTGTATAAATGCATATGTATAAATGCATATGAATTGAACATTATGTGACGGCTTTCAAAACATCAACCCTCACGGAGTTGTTGATGAATTGCATCGACAATCTAATAGCGAGCCAACTTATCTGCAGATATCAGGATACCTTATTCAGGGGCGATCCAAAGTCCAATCTGAACATCAAGAATCATTTATCCATGTAAGAGTCGGTCTTTATTTCCAACTAATTGAGTATAGCACCTACAAGGACAAAAGGCCCCTTTCGAGAGGTACTAGTATAATCTAGACGAAGCACGGGGAAAGGCCAAGAGTTTCTCCAACAAAAGACGTTATACAAGAAACGCCAGAGGGGAACAGAGGTGGGTTGGAAACCAAAGATATCGGAACTGCAAGTGCAGATCAAAGAAACCAAAGGGCTACATCACGATGTTTCGGATGCCTACATAAAAAAGAAAGGGTCTCACATAACGACGAATTGTGGAAAATGCACGAAGAACTTAGGGCGGTGAAAGGCAGCGAAGACCTCGACATAAAGGAGCTAGGCTCCCATTCCTACGAAGCCATTCATAATTTCAAAATCCAGCATAACTCTAGGTCGAGGAAGAACACTCTGTTAGAATCTAACGTCAAAGAGCTTGAAAGTTGTCAAAGAGAAAGAGTCAGAATCAAGCTAGGTACCTGGTACAGAACGAAGAGAAACACTCAGATTACAATCTGGAAATGCGCGCCGCCCGAGATCTAGAACTCGCTAGGCTGAAATGGCCTCACGAATCCAAGTTTCAGTTACGCAGGCTAGAGGCAGAATATGAATCGAGAATCAAAGACAGGGATGAGGAAATTGCAAGGCTATTGAGCAGGCACGCAGAAGAATCGTTAATCCTACTACTCCAAACCCAAGCTGAAGGAGAGGTTGAAAGAATTCAGGGAAGCCTGGAGGTAGCCATTGACGCCTGGAGGCAGACAAACGAAGAGGACATAATCCAGACTCAAGATATACAGATCGGATCTACGGAAATTGGCGAAGGATTTCTAACCAATCTGCAAGCTAAATTTGGAACGCTTGGGGAGATGCTAGGGACTCTGGAAGACACTGTCGCACGGATCAAGCGGGCGAACGAGACGAGACGTAGCGAGCAGGGCATAGTTGCTACCGAGCTCACAAGCCTTCAGACCTCCAGTAAAGAGGAGCCGAGCCGCGAGCAAGATTCGGACCCCAGGATGGCACGGTTTAGGTTAACGAATCAGGAAGACAGGCCGGTCCCGCGCGAACCAGAGAAAGACTCCAATGTACAGCTTCAGGCGCTGCACCAAGAGATCGAGCACCTGAGGATCAAGCTTAGAGACGTGGAGAAGGCATCAGTCAAGGAATTATCTCGCGTATATCAGCTGCAACTAGACCTAAATTACGAAAAGCAATCTCTCGAAAAGGCCTTGGCGAACGCACAAGACGAGCTGCTGTCGACAAGGGGAAAATTGAGGTCGAACGAAAAGGAACTTACGAAACTACAGCAAGTGTGTAACACAATGACGGATTTGGGACAGACCTCCGTTAGTTCCCCTGTAAACACGACAGATAATTCCGGCGAAAAGGAGACGGAGATCACAAAATTGAAGGAAGCCGCGGCAAAACTGAAGCAAAACCTTGAGGTGGCGAAGAAAGAGTTGGACAGATATGCAGTGGTCGGAAAAGAAATGAGAGAAAATAACGAAAGCCTGGATTCTGAACTTGGGGAAAAGAAGGCGGAGCTGGAGGTTCACTCGGTGAATAACGCCGAGATGGGCAGGACCTTGGCGGCAAAGCAAACCGAGATTGATCGCCTAACACAAGAGCTAGGGACTTCCAACGAGCGGGAAGAAGTTCTGCTACGAGAAGCACAGTACGCTGAAGGCGAGGCATTGGACTACCAACGGCATTTGCGCTACCAGGATGATTCCTTAAGAGACTACAACGACCAAATAGGTCTATTAGAGGGGAAACTACGCACGGAGGAGGCCAGACGGCGCGACCTTTTCGAACAGGTCCAGATGCTTCGGGGAACTATTCGTGCTGTATGCCGCATCCGACCGATTGGCGTCGACAAGGACAAGCTATTGGAGTACAAGACAGAGACCGGGAAGTTCCATGGCCACCCAGCTACATTGATAGTGAACGAGGACAGGATTGTCGGGGGACAAGTCAAGACGGAATGGTCCGATGCATACGACTTCGAAAGAGTCTTCCTACCCAAAGAGACAACCCAAGATGTATTCGAGGAAATCAATAACTTTGCGCAGTCTTTTCTCGACGGCAAGAAAGTTTGCATTTTCTGCTATGGACAGTCAGGGACGGGCAAGACCTATACAATGAGCCATTACTGCGACGCCGGTCATCGAGTGGAAGGCATGCATTACCAAGACGACGGCATTATTCCGAGGCTGAACACGATGCTTTTCGAAGAAAGGGCCAGGCTTGAGCAACACGGGTCTACGATGCAGATCGAGGGGTGCTGCTACGAGATCTATAATAACGATCTATGGCTGCTGAAAGCGGAGGGAAGCGAGAAGAAGACGATCTTGGCCAACAATGGAGTCAAGGACCCCGAATTCATGTCTCTAGATACCATGAGCAACTTCGACACCCTGGTCAAGGTGGGGATGAAGAACCGCCATTTCGGGAAGACAGACCTGAACGACAAGTCCTCCCGCTCTCATTTCATCATTACCCTCAAGACCACCGTCACGACAGACAGCGAGACCTACGGGGGCCTACTCCACCTCGTGGACCTCGCCGGCTCCGAGCGGCGGAACGAGGCCAACACCGCGGGCGCGGCATCCCGGGAGGGGACGCAAATCAACCAATCGCTGTCGGCGCTCGGCAACGTCTTCCGCGACCTCGCTTCCGACAGGAAGCCGTTTTGCCGAGGAAACAAGCTGACGGAGCTGCTGGAGCCCTCGCTGCAGAGGGACTGCATGACGCTCATGATGGTCATGATCAGCCCCCTGAAGGAGCATTGGTCGACGACGAAGAATGTGCTCGGTTTTGCGCTCATGGTGAGTCTAAGAACCTTTATTACTGACTTTATGGAAGTCGGGATAGGAGAGGCAGCTAATAGAGTATCGCGTAGGCCCAATCTGCGAAGAAACATGACAATAAGGGTAAAGGTACCAAGTCAGCGGCCGAAAAGGCTCCTCCAGTCATGACAAGGAGACCTGCGCCCCGCGGGGGAAGGGGTAGAGGTAGATGAAGATCATGTCGCTGTGGTTAGAGGCACCATGCTTCTAAAAAGCTTGCCTTATGCGACGTCTTGAGAGGCGTTGCGATAGGCTACCAACTCGGAGCCAATCGAGCGATGGTCACACAATAAGCAGACAAATTGAGTGATGCGTGGCAGTATTGAAATACAACTCTCTTCCTATGTGTTCTCAACCTTTCCGATGACTTTTAGATATCGTGAATGCATCATGTCGCCTTATTCTAGGCGTGTGAAGACCCTGTTAAGGAAATATCCTAGGAAATAAGATGATGGCACACCATCGCAAGCTGCAACGTTGTCTGTTTCGCCGCGAATCACAGGTTTAAACGATGATGCGGGAGAAGTTCACAGAACAAGTGCTGGCGTTTCAGAGCCTGATCACTTATTGCATATAGATACCGAAATGGCAGAACCAGGGGAGCTATAATTCACGATCGGTGTTAAAGTCGCACGGTTTTCGTGTGAACTATGGTGAAGATGTAGGTGTGCAATCCATAATGAGCGTACAAATTGTCATTGCGCCAAATGTGAAAAACCAAGTCTAAAGCAATATCGAACTCTCGGTACGAATGCCTCTGCTGACTCATCGGGACCACAGCTTTTTGGCTGTATTTTGTCCGAAGATTAGCCTGGATCAATGAATCATATAGATAGCCTTAGCAAAGTTTTTAACACAACAGCACATCCAATGGCAAGATGGCCGAGCGGTTAAGGCGGAAGTTTCAAGGGTATCCCCTTACCTGTACAACGGGCAGCAAGCTTCTGGAGCAATCCACGCGAGTTCGAATCTCGCTCTTGTCAATATTTTTTTAATTGTAAATCCCATATATTTTTATTTCGTTGCCTTTGTTTGTTTGTGACTTTTTTCGCTAGGTGTGTGTGCGATAATTACTTTCAGTTCTATGCCAACTCATCATTGTTTATTTACATTTTCGAATCTTAAAACTTCCAGGCTTCTATGCCGTGTAGGCATCATTTATATGCAATATTGAACATACGACACGAAAGGCTTCTCTGCTGACTCATCGCAAAAAGTTATTCGTCACTGCAACTTGACCTAGGTACTTACATAGCGCTGGATTATGGTTAAAAGATCTGAGGCATGGACCATGTTCTTTTACAGAATACTCCTACTAGCTACGGATTCTTCCTAGTCTTGGGCATCAGTTCAGGGATGAGTCAATTGGAGCCACATATGACATGCTATTAATATTGATATCCACGATGTCAGGCGTGTCCCTACCGGACTCGATCCAACGGTAACGGGGCCTGACGGCTAGATAATGATGGCCGGAAGTGCAATCTCCTTAACTCTTCGTTTGCGACCGGAAGTTACTGTATAGGTTGGGAGCTAACTTATATGAGAGTCTGTCATGTTGGTTCGTTGGGCGACTATTCATGGGAGATGGATTATCCTAGTCTCACCATAAACTGAAGGATACTTTATAGGTCCCGAAGATGATAAATGACAGCATTAAGGGCATGTTCATGTCAGTTACCACCGTTCTCATTGTTAAGCACTCTGGCACGGGTGATACCTTCAAGCGCATCGGTATATTGGACCGTTGGCCGAATAGCTGTGGCTATAGGGACAGGACTAGGTTTTTCAAATATGCCAAAAAGACGAAATTTACATTAGTGTAGGCCTAAGGAAGCTTTCCAGTGTTGACATATACATGATACTCCTGAACAGTTTCGCTGGATCGAGCCTTATAATGGATTTAATCCGTGACAGCCTCAGTAACTGGAAATTCCGTCTGAATTATAATCCCGGGTAGCATGTATTTGAAAATAAGTCCGAACCGAGTCAGTTATTCTGCTCGTGTTCGACATATGATTGTCGTACGAAGCTGATGCCCCTTGTCCCGTGTGGTGTCCCGTGTGGTAAGTTACAGCGGTGTTTTCAGAGGCGCCAAGCGAATCTCCTGCCCCTTTTTCAATCGGCTTCCCTGTTTTGACTGATATGGCTTGGCCAGTACACACATTTGCTTTGCTTTTTGTCTGATGGATAGATTTCATGCAGGTGCCTCTTCATACCTGCCTGCCTAAGTCTCGCTAGCCTGCCCTGGTCTGCCATTCAACTCCCTTGGATGGAATAGTCAAGTGGCTGACCGGTGAAGACAGGCCGAACAGAAGACCACCAGGAATTTGAGGCAGTTTTTTCCAGAACGTCCTGGGTCAGAATACGCAATTGAATCAGGGCTTTGAACAGCCATGTTACACGGTGGCTGTTCGGCACAATACAGCACGGTCAGCGGGCTCCACCAGGTTGAGATAGGCTGGCTAATGCGTATCAGAACAGTGATTGGTGCCCTGAGAGATACGGCTTCTTCATTGTAGCCTTGCTCCTTGAAGGACGGCATTACTTAATGTGCGAACTAACATGTACTTGTCCACAATACGGCGAGAGACTCGGCCGAGTAGCTTCAGGAGCCCTCGCCGGCAATTCTCCTAGGTATATCTACCGTATTCGTATGTGTGTTCTCGCTTAGATATATGGGCTCTTTGAGATTCTTCTTCTGGTATTCACATCGGAATCCTTGTGTGGCTGGCTGGCGTTTCGCCAGGGCCTTTCAATCACTGATCATCATCATCATACAGGTAGACACCCCTCCACCGACAACCAAGCGCAAGGCGTGGCCCCAAGGCATGTTAAGGTGGAATGACATGATTTTATCGTGTCCTCGGTTCTAATAATTTGAAGCCCGTATTTCCTGGTACATCTATAATCAGAGAAATATAGCCAGTTATGAAAGGAAGCACCTGCGCAGAGTCCGTAGAAGTTTACCGCAATGCAGGTACAAGGGAGATTTCAAACGGCTTGTGAACCTTGCAGAATTTTCATGCCTCGGTCTAGCACAGACGAACCCCATTGCCATGCTACGACTATCTGTTCCAGCAAATGAAGCTTTGCTCTGGGCATCAGCGTTTCTAGGGTGTTGCAATCTGAGTGTTTTTGCCTAGGCCACTAAGGTTCATGGTTTACTTTCACTATTCTATGTCCACTTTCGTGGCATTATTAAGGGGCTATCAAATGTTTTAGATACCACTCGTTGTCTGTGTCTTGCGAAGAATCTAGAATGCTCACATTTTGACATGTTAGATGAGCTAGGATTTGATAAATACCTAGGTAGGTAGGCAGGAAGGAAAAACAAGGAGGGAATCAAATTTGTCGGGACATCATCCACCAGATCCTGTTTCTGCCCTGAAACGTCATTTGACGACAACGTGGAAGTGCGAAGTAATCAAATTACAAGGGCCGAAATTGTCTTATCATTTCTAGGCACTAAGTGGGTAGAAGAACCTAGGTAGGTAGTTATCAAGTAATAACTGCGTTTCTGATGTGTTCGTAAGAAGAAAATTAAGTAGCAGCAGTAAATCACAGAATAGATACAGGAGTACGGAGTTGACAAATTAAGAAGGCCTTAGAATACATGTAGTTTTGCGTGGGAATAGTTACCTAGGTAGATTTCCCGCAAATCCCTTTTCGCGGCACAACACCAGGCCACTGATCCTAGATACGTGAATGGACACTAGCGTTTAGAGAATAATCCCTTGGTAAACAGCAATAAGGTGAACATGGATTACAAAAGATCGAGAACACCCAGTCATACATGTTTCTCGACAGCAAAAAGACATTGATCAGGTACCAATTTCCAAGTGGTAGAGTAGTAAAAAAGGAAAGTAGGAAATAATATTTCTGTCCTCGAGCTCCATAATCATTCACCACAACGACCAAGGTGCTTTTAGCACTCTATTAGCGTCACCTGTATTCCTTCACTGGTCCAAGCACTTAGCACCGTTAAGGTTAAGATATAATTGATAATTGACCAAGCTGTTAACATGGAATCTTAGCCAGCTTTGAAGGAGCAACTGGAAGTTCTAAAGACATTCTTACGGAAAACTAGACTTCCTAGCCTTCGCTGTGGAATCGGACCAACGATATTGTGACATTGCTATAGCTGGGAATCACCAGCAAATAAACATCTCTAAATTCTAGCATAGCAAATATAAATCGGAATTTCTTTTTGGTTAAATAGCCTATATACCTAATCTAACTGTCACAAGCTGGATCTTAGTGCAAAAGATTAACGAAGACTTGATTTGTATCTATCATCGGGATATCTGACAGCTAGGGCTTAAAGCTCTTCGCAAGACAACCTCGCCTTGTGATCATACGATCGATTCGATATAGCGACAAAAATCAAGAAGCCGGATTTGGTTTCCTTGTGGACGAATTTAGGTTTCCGTACTATTCGGGGCTACCTACCGGTAGTCTATCTGACAGCGGGCACTAAATAGAGTAGCACTGATACTACTTCGATCGTTTATACGCGGTGGGTGATTCGTCGGGTCGTTCGTTCGAAGAATCGTGCGCCTTGGATTCGTCGGTCGACAGTATTGACTTTGTAGGACGTGGTATCTACCTATACGAGGATTATCTAAAGACATAGAGAAAATGAGTTGGATCGAACTGAAATGAACACGGTCAATATGAGGGACACTTACGCGTGAATTTACGAACTGGAACTGAATCTAGAACTCGCCCAGTTTAGATGGCGTTATTAGTGCCCGAACCTATCTTCGGTTAGTTGCCGCAAGTGACGTATGCAGCATCGTTGTGGAAGTTATTGGCATGTACGATGACGAAGCAGCGCGCCAGATTCTTGAACTGGAGGAATACGATTATGTGGTGGAAAGGATGGGCTACGTGCTGTGCTACGAGATTAATTCCTACTGCTACACAGCCCCTATTGTTCGGAGGCTGGACCGCCGCACCTGGCTCTGCTTACACCGTAGCAAACTTTGTCAGGCATCAACGCTTAGGGCAATAGCTCAGTAATTATAGGAACGACACGGCATTGACTACAAGGTGTTCTGATAGGAGACCAGGAGTATGGCACCCCTAGACAACCGAACGACCGTGCCCCCCAGAGTGCTCTGCACGTCACATTCCTTAAAAATGACTGACATTGTGTGAACGCGGTTATGGGGTCCTCACGTCATTTCCTCGGCAAGCGATGACGAGGTCAGAGCGTACATCCCGTACCACAAAATTACGGTGGGAGGTTGAAAAGTCATGTCAGTCATCATGTTCGTGGGTGGGTATTCAGCTCGGGTTCTTGAGAGAATGCGGAATAGGAGGCCCCTACCCCTGCCTGTCTAACCCTAGGCCACAGGGCTCGATAATCTGTCGGTATGGACCGAAGTATTCTTCACCGGTGGAAGTAGTTTCTGGGACTATTTGCTGGTCTGAGCTTTCACTAACTCGAACTACTTCTTAGCTTTATCATTCTAGAGAATTTCGCGTGGCGACAGGGATGGTGAAACGACACCATTGGTGAAAGTGAGGCGAGAGAAATGAAATCCAAAGTCATTTTTGATAAGATATGAGAGTCTCTAAAGCAACCATGAAGTCTGACACTTTTATATTAGCCTCGGGTCTATGCGTGCTAAGTAGTGTGGTGCGGGAGTAGCGTCAGATGACGGAAATGAATTTGAGTGAAATTACTATCAAAATAAGGCACTAGGCTCGCAGATTTCAATTTACACACCTAGGTACTATGCAGGTAATCATGGTAGATCAGTCAATACTTCGACATACATGGACCTACTTGGCTAAGTATCTACTTGGCAAAAAGAATCTATCTACTACATAGTAAAACCTAAGAATTGTTACATGCCCTTTCAGTGTATGAACCCTGCAGCCGCCATCATCAAACGCCGAACAATCTCCCACGAAGACATACCATTTGTATACTATCCAATTGGATTGTAAGAAGCACTAATTCCTCCCATCT